CCTTCCCTGTGCCACAACAGCCTTCCCTGTGCCACCAACACCTTGAGGGCCACCAGAGCCCCCTCTGTGCCACTGACACCTCAGAGAGCCCTCTCTGTGTCACCAACACCTCAGGGGCCACCACAGCACTCCCCCGTGCCACCAGAGACTTCTCTGTGCCGCCACAGCCCTCTCTATGCCACTGACACCTTGGGGGCCACCAGAGTCCTCCCTGGGCCACCAGGGCTCTTCCTGTGGCACTGACACCTCAAGGAGCCACCACAGCCCTCCTTGTGCCACTGACACCTCAGGGGCCATGAGAGTTCTCCCTGTGCCACCAGAGCCCCCTTTGTGCCACCACAGAGGCCTCCCTGTGCCACCAGATCCTTCCCTGGGCCAGCAGAGCCCCCCCCGTGTCACCCCCACCTCAGGCGCCACCGCAGCACCCCCAGCTGCCCCCTGCAAGCTGCAGCAGCAATTCCAGGAGCTCATTTTGGGATCCCTCCCCAGCACTGGAATATCTGAGCAGAGCCCAGCTCAGGTGGCCACAGCAACTCTGGCTGCCAGCCCCAGGCTGGAGTTAACCCCTGCGCTGCCGAGGTGACAACACTTCCCATTCCTTTCAGGACCAAAACCTTCCAGAGCAGAGGAATCAAAACTCCTCTGGGAAACCCAGCTCAGGCTGCACCTCCTCACTTTGCAGACGTTTTACTGGGGTTTTACAGAGGTTTTTTTAGGCCAGGAATCTGCTGAAATCCCCACCTGGGGATGAGGGCTCCCCTGCCCCGTGGGTTGAGTCAATGAAAAGGGACTGGAGCAGCAATTTCAGGATTATCAGAGAATCCACAGAAATTCCTTTTGTGGGCAGAGTTAAGCCTTAGGAAGTGAAACAGATGCTCTGAGAAAGAAAACTGTTGTAGAACAAACGCTGATAAGATCAGGGCTGCTGCCCCGAGCTGCAAGTTCTCAGGCAGGGAGAGCCAAGGGGTAATTACTGCCCACAGCAGCTCCCTGCAATGGGAACCCAGCCTTGCTAATAACAGAGCTCAATTCAGCAGCCCCCAGCTTCAAAGGCAGCCCCTGAAAACATCCGAGTGATTTCAGGAATGGCAGGGAGGATGGGGAAGGGAAGGGCTGAGGTTTAACCATTAATTGCTTTTTTTTTAATTCAGTTCCTTTCACGTGTTCTCACGAGCAAACAGGAACCTGCTGCTCCATCCTCGAGGAAAAGCTGGGCTCTCTGAATTCCTCCTGTCCCGAAAGACTCAGAGGAATCAGCCCAGGATTGATTTGGGGTAAGAAGAGGGATCCCCAGTGCCAGTCCAGAGTCACTGAGTGACCCCAGAGTGAGAAAACCACAAGTGCAAGGGAATAAAACATTGCAGCTGCTGGCAGCTCCTGTGTGCAGCCTGAACCCCTGGGAGCTGCCACTGGGGAGACAAGCTGCCACCAGCCCCACAAATAAATGTGGCACTGAATGAATCCTACAATGATTTGTCTGCCTCCTTTTCCTGCCTCAGAATCCTAACTCACCTATGGGCTTCTGCAGGGGAGGAGCTGGGAATCATCTCCATTTCCATTTTCCTTTCCTTTACTTGGGGAATCCTCTGAACTTCCATTTTCCTTTCCTCTGAATTTCCTTCCTTCCTTCCTTCCTTCCTTCCTTCCTTCCTTCCTTCCTTCCTTCCTTCCTTCCTTCCTTCCCTCCTTCCTCCCTCCCTTCCTTCCTTCCTTCCTTCCTCCCTTCCTCCCTTCCTCCCTTCCTTCCTCCCTTCCTCCCTTCCTCCCTTCCTTCCTCCCTTCCTCCCGCCCTCTTTTCCTTTTCCCTTCCCAGGGATTTTCAGGAGCAGCAGCACAGGGACAATCCAAACCTGTCCCTACAGCAGAAGAAAAAGCAGCTGAGAATGAGGAATCTCCTCCCACCTCACCATAAAAAGGGAAAAGACCAGGACCTGAATATATCCTGAACAAATCCAACCCTGAAAAACCCCCAGAGCACAAACCCAGCTGGGAAATTCCCCTTTCCCCCTCCTGGATTAAGGACTGCTCTCTCCTGAGCAGTCCAGGCACATTTTTCAGGTGCTGGAATCCCAGCCCCTCGTTCCCAGGGCCTGCAGCAAAGGCTCAGGAAGGATTTGAAGCTGATTTTCTTCATGAACAGCCTGACCCTGGGAAGGTTCAGCTCAGGCTTTTGTAGCATTTCTGGGAGGAATCCCCAAAATCCTGGGCACAAAGCCCTGCCAGGGAGCCCTGCTCCATGGAAAAGGCAAGGCCTGGAAAGATGGGTTTATTTATTCCCAGAGTTCTCACTGCCAAGCTGGAAATTTGGGATTTATCCATTCTCACATTCCTCATTTCCAAGCTGGAGCCTGGAAATTTGGGATTTATTCTCACATTCCTGATTTCCAGCCCAAGGCCTGGAAATCTGGGATTTCTTTGGTCTCACATTCCTGATTTCCAAGCTGGAGCCTGCAAATTTGGGATTTATTCTCACATTCCTGATTTCCAGCCCAAGGCCTGGAAATCTGGGATTTCTTTGGTCTCACATTCCTGATTTCCAAGCTGGAAATTTGGGATTTCCTCCCACATTCACTATTTTCAAGCTGGAACCTGGAAATCTGGGATTTGGGGTCTGGAAAACTGGGATTTCTTCATTCTCACATACCTAATTTCCAAGCTAGAGTCTGGAAATTTGGGATTTATTTATTCTCATGTTCCTCATTTCCAAGCTGGGGTCTGGAAATCTGGGATTTGGGGCCTGGAAATTTGGGATTTCTTCTCACATTCCTGATTTCCAAGTTGGAAATCTGGCATTTCTTCATTCTCACATTCCTGATTTCCAAGCTGGGGCCTGGAAATCTGGGATTTAGGGCCTAGAAATCTGGGATTTCTTCTCACATTCCTGCTGGAGCTGAGGAAGCAGCACCAATCTGTGCTCCTGGTTTTCCCTGCTCAGCTTTCCCAGGAACAGACATTCCCAAACAACATGAGCACCCACCAAACCCAACACTGCCAGCCCTGGAATAAACCCTCATTTTCCCCCCAAACCAGACCTTTTCCCAGGAGCTGGGATGGATTTCAGGGTGTTCCACAGGATTGGAGGAGCAAACAGAGCAACCCCCCAGCAATTCCTTCTCCTGGATCAGCTCCTGCACTCCCTGTGCTGACAAAATTCCCAAAATTCAGCTCATTCCCATAAGCTTTTGCCCACAGCCTTGCCCTACAATGATTTCCTGGGATGGGACAGAAGTGGCTTCCTTTTCCTGGTGGATCCCAGATTTCTCTGGGTAATCCCAGCCTCACAATTCCAAGGGATTCTTTGCCCCAAAGCTTTCAAAAGAACAAGCAAGCCTTGAGGGAAGGAAGTGACTTTTCCCACCATTTCCAAGAGCATTCTGCATCCTAGGAATGCTCCAGGAGCAGGACATAAGACTGGTAAAAGAAGCTGAAAAATAAAAGCCTAATTCAGGAATCATTTTGGAAACAAACTGGAGAATCTGTTTCATCCTGGATTTCTTCCCATTAAATAGAGAAAGCAAAGGGAAAAGCTCATATTTTAAAAAAATGCCTGGATATTAAAGATTCCAAAGAATGAAGTGGTCAGCCCAGAGCTCCCCACACAATTCTCTCCCTTTCCTGCCCCTGGTTTTATTCCCCAGCTCTGAACTGGGAATCAGCAGCTCCACTTGGACCCCAGCCACAGATCCAAACCACTCCACCTCCAAAAACCTTGGGACAACAGGGGGACCTGTCCTTTTCCTGACACCTTTTCTCACTGTTCTCCAGAGCTGTCCCTGCTATTCCTTTATAACTCACTCCTGAACCTGGTATCCATGGATTCCTCCCACTCCTGCCCTTCCCAGCAGCAAAAGTGGTTTTATTGGAGTTTTTCCTGGGCACTTTGGTCTCCTGGATTGAAGTGGCCTCCCAAATTGCAGGAATGGGCCAAAGCACATTGTGCCAACCCAGGAATGATGTTTTATTCCATTTTTTTCCCCTCTTCCACACAAGCCCTGGCTGGTTTCATGGCCACTGCCTGGCCAGAACGAGCAGTGAGATCTGCAGGGCTCTGCCAACAGGAGGGAGAAGCAGCAGCTGAGCAAGGATCAAAACCAGCCCTGGACTAGGCTGAGCTTATTTGGCTTTTTAAAGAGATCCTGTAAAACCTGAGCCCTGCCTGCTTTTCCCCACCCAGAGCCCTGCAAGAGGAAGTCGTCACCACTCCCATCCAGTAAATTCTGAGGCAATGGCCCCTGAGTGACAAACCCACCTCATCTGAGCAACTCCCTCTCCTGGGCCCAGCCCCTGGGAGAAACACCAGCAGCCAGTGGGGGTTTTACAGCCCAGGGCTGCTCCCTGAGGAGCTGGGGAGGGAACACCCACCTGCCCTGCAGGGACAGACCCCAGTGACCACTGAAATCCCACTGGCAACAAAGGAAATCACTCCACCATCCCCTGGCTCTCAGCTGCAAAGAGCAGCAATTCTTCACTCAAAGGTGGAATTAACCTCCCACAAGGCAGCAGTGAGCTGGCTCCTTACTTCCTTTTCTCTCCCCTTTCATTTTCTCTCTCCTTTCCTTTCCTTTTCCCTTTCTCCTTTTCTTTTTCCTCTTCCATTTCCTTTCGCCTTTCCTTTTCTCTTCCTCCTTTCCTTTTCCCTTCCTCCTTTCCTTCCCTTTTCCCTTCCCTTCCCACACAGGGAGCATAAAGTGCTCTGACTCCCAATATCAGGTCACATCCTCCTGCACTCAAAAATCCACAATTCCAAGATCCCTGAGGTCTGACAAAAGTAACTCCAGTGAGGCATCAGCAGGGAGCTGCCTGCACCTAAAATCTGCAAACCACCAGGTTTTTCCCAAAATCCCACCCCACAAAGGCTCTCACAGAGCAGGGAAACCCACAAAGCCAACTTCTGGTGGGATCTCCTCAGAGAAGGGAGCCCAGCAGGGGAGCACAGCCTGCTGGAGCACTCCTGAGGAAGGCAAATGGAGGTTTTGGGAGCAGGGAACGCCAGCACTGACCTGTTTGAGCTGCTCGTCCAGGCGCCAGCCGGGGCGCCCCGCCAGGGCTGCGCAGCGCTGGGCAGGGTCTGTGCCCTGCTCCTCCCTGCCCTGCTGGGTGCCCCGCGGGTGCCCCGCGCCTGGCACGGGGCTGGCGGCAGATCCCCCTCTGGGCTTGCCATGGGCACCTTTGGGAGCGCGGAAATAGGGCAGGGCAGAGCAGCTCTGCTGGCCGGCCACCCCGGAGCCGTCCTCCAGCTCAGCGCCGTCTTCTTCATCCTCCTCTTCATCCTCCTCCTCCTCATCCTCCTCCTCGTCCTCAGAGTTCCCGCTGCTCTGCTCCAAGGGCCGGCTGGCTACGGCGGGGGCTCTGCCCGCGGGGACGGAGGGTGACACCCCCGGGGGCACAGCGGGTGACACCCCCGGGGCGCGCCCGGCGCGGGGCTGGCCGGGGAAGGGCGGCGGTGTCGGGAACGGCACCTGCGGCTCCCGGCGGCGCTCCCGGCAATCCATGGGCACCGCCGGCGGCTGCTGCTGCTGCTGCTGCTGCTGCTTCTGCAGCTGCTCCACCACCGCCTGCAGCTTCATCCCGCCGTGCGCATGGCTGGCGGCCCCGGCGGGAGCCGCGCAGGATCTGCCGGGGAGACAAACGCGGCTGAGGCAGAGCGGCCGGCGCTGCTGCTTTCATCTCTTCCCCAGGAAGGGAGGGGATGGACGGAGCAGAGCCGGGGCTCTTTCCTGCGCAGGAGACCGTGAAACAATCAGCTCGGCGCGTCACAGCCGCGGGTGCGGCGTTGCAGCGCGTTGTGCAGCTCTGCTCTGCCCCAGAGGCACCGCGCCCCAGGGCTTTGTGCGGGACGGGCTCCCCGCGCTGCCGAAGGAGCTGCGCCAAGGTCAGCCATGGGCTGCGGCGGCTGGAGCGCGGCCGGGAAGGAGGCAGCCCGGAGGGGCTGGCCAGGCTTACACTACAGATATGGATATATACAAATATTTTATGCCCATGCCAGGCAGGGATTTGGCAGGAGAGGCTATCCCTAAATTCTTCTGTGCTCTCACTCCATGGTTAAACCCCTGCCACCTCACAGAAAAAAAAATAAATAAAATAAATAAATAATAAAAAATAAATGAATGAATAAAAAATAAATAGAAATAAATTTAAAAATATATAAAAAAGAAATTGAAAACCATTTAAAATAAATAAAAATAAATTAAAAATAAAACCAAGGGAATAAAAAAAAAATTAAAAATAAAAATTAAAAAAATCCTTTAAATAAAGAAATAAATCGTTTTTGGCATTATTTTCCCCAGGCAGACAGAGATGGAGCCCAGCAGAGCAGCCCCAGGCTGGGAGCAGAGCTGGGGACAAACTCTGGAAAAAGCCACCAAATTTGCACTTTGTGTCCCCCAAATTGTCCTGCTTGGGGAAAAAGTGACCAAATTTGGGGTTTGGGGGGTTTCACAGCACACCCAGCTCAGGGGAACAAAGGAAAAATCCAGCCCAACCATCCCCTGAGCTCCTGGCACCTCCCTGCTGGCACTCTGGGGGAAAAATAAAGGGATTTTGGGGGGGAAAAAAGGATTGGACCTTTTGGGTCACCTTTCATGGCCCTGCTTCACTTTCAGGGTCACTTTTGGTGTCCCTCTCTCTCTTTTTGTATCCCTGCCTCACTTTCAGGGTCACTTTTTGTGTCCCTGCCTCACTTCCAGGGTCATTTTTGGTGTCTTTCCCCAGATTTTTGTGTCCCTCCCTTACTTTCAGGGTCACTTTTGGTGTCCCCCCCTCACTTTTAGGGTCATTTTTGGTGTCACCCCCTCACTTTTTGTGGCCCTGCCTCACTTTTAGGGTCACTTTTAGTGTTTCTCCCTCACTTTCTGTGTCCTTTCCTTACTTTCAGGGTCACTTTTTGTGTCCCTGCCTCACTTTCACGGTCTCTTTTTGTGCCCCTGCCTCACTTCCAGGGTCATTTTTGGTGTCTTTCCCCAGGTTTTTGTGTCCCTCCCTCACTTTTGGCGTCTCCCCCTGTCATTTTTGGCATCTCTCACTTTTTGTGTCCCTCCCTCACTTTCAGGGTCACCTTTTGTGTCCCTCCTTCACTTTTAGGGTCACTTTTGGCGTCCCTCCCTCACTTTCAGAGTCTCCCCTCTGTCATTTTTGGCTTCTCTCCCCCACTTTTTGTGTCTCTCCCTCATATTCAGAGTCACTTTTGGCAACCCTGCCTCACTTTTTGTGTCCCTTCCTTACTTCCAGGGTCATTTTTGGTGTCTCTCCCTCACTTTTTCTGTCCCTGCCTCACTTTTTGTGTCTCTCCCTCACTTCCAGGGTCTCCCCTCTGTCACTTTTGTTGTCTCTCTCCTGATTTTTGTGTCCCTCTCTCACATTCAGGGTGACTTTTTGTGTCTGTTCCCCACTTTTTGTGTCCCTGCCTCACTTTCAGGTCTCCTTTCTGTCACTTTTTGTGTTCCTCCCTCACTTTCAGGGTCATTTTTCGTGTCCCTCCCTCACTTTGAGGGTTCCCCCATGACTTTTAGTGTCTCTCCCTCACTCCCAGAGTCTCCCCCCTGTCACTTTTTGTGTCTCCTCCCTGGTTTTTGTGTCCTTCCCTCACTTTCAGGTGTCCCTGCCTCACTTTTAGGGTCTCCCCCCACCACTTTTGGCATCCCCCTCTTGCTTTTAGGATCACTTTTGGTGTCTTTCCCCAGTTTTTTGTGTCTCTGCCTTACTTTTAGGGTCATTTTTGGTGTCACTCCCATTTTTTGTGTCCCTCCCTCACATTCAGGGTCACTTTTGGTGTCCCTCCTTTACTTTCTGGGTCACTTTTTGTATCTCTCCCTCACTTTCGGGGTCTCCCCCCATCACTTTTGGCATCCCTCCTTCGCTTTTAGGGCCACTTTTCCTGTCCCTCCCTCACTTTCAGGCTCATTTTTGGTGTCCCCCCCTCACTTTCACGGTCTCTCCCCGTTGTTTGAGCCCCTTCCCGCAGGCCGGAGGGCCCGGACCGAGTTTCCCCACCGGCGGCGGGGTTTTACTCGCCTGGGCGAGCCCTCCCCCTTTAACTCCCGATTTTACCCGGCTCCCTTGGGAAGCAGCGCTCGGGAA